CTCGCCGGTGCTGATCATCTTCGGCTACCTGCTGGGCCAGCAGACCACCAACCTGCCCACCACCTTCAGCTGCCCGCTGGTGCCGCTCATCCCGTCGGTCGGCGTGCTGGTCAACATCTACCTCATCACCTCGCTGCCCATCGAGGCCTTCTACCGGGTGCTCGTCTGGACCGCCATCGGCCTCGCCATCTACTTTGGCTACGGCATCCGCAACTCGGCGCTCCGCTTCCAGCTGGCGGCCGCCAGCGCCGGCTTCAGCGAGCCGGACCACCAGGTCGTCGTGCCGGGCCACGTCGTCGGCGACATCAAGACCAAGCGCTTCGATGACGATGACGGCGCCGTGTCGTCGACCACCACCGAGTACCGGTTCGGTACGGAGGGCTACTCGATCAACAGCGATGGCACCACCGCGTCGGCACTCATTGACGATCACAGCAAGTTCAACTGAGCCTCGCCCCACGATATGATGTTATTCGTTAAATAAAAATCACTTCAACAGCTTTATCTTTACAGCACCTAAGACAGCCATGGCGGCGAGGTAGATCAAGAATGGCGTCCAGGCCGGCCTCGGCCTGGGGAGTTCCGCCACCGGCGGCGGGGCGAAGGTGGTGGCGGGGAGCTGGTGTGGGCAGGAGTGGTCGCCGAGGAGCAGGAGGCCGCTGAGAAGTTGGGCGTCGTCGATCCCGCCGTCGCGCGGGTAGCTCATCGCCTTGACGGGATGGAGGTTCGGCATGCCCCACTGGTTCAGTTCGTAGCCCCAGTTGTCGAGGGCCGGGTAGTCGCCAGCCACCACAAAGTACACCTTGTTGTGTAAAGCCAGACATTGAAGCACGCCGAGAAGCTCCTCCGTACGTTTGGTCTAAAGAAGACATAATTTAGTGGCTGGCCGCTAGGGGGTGAGGGAAGCTGATGTCTTACCCAGTCATGAGCATCCTGAAAAACAACAACTATGGGAGGAGGGTAAGCGTGGAACAGGCTGGACGAGGTGAACCGCTTCACCCTGGTATAGGCAGTTTCCTCCTCTGCGTCCGCTCGCTTGTCCAACAACCGCTCGTACTGGCGTTGGTCGACGCTGCTGAACTGGAATGCCCCGCCCAGAATGTTGTCCAAGTGGCCCCGCATCTCGGTTGTCAACTCCTCATCGCTTCCCATGAGAATGACTTTCCGTAGGCCGTCACGGGTGTCATCCTCTTGCATTGTTGTGTGCTCCTGTGCATTGACTGACCGAACGTGTCAGTCACCGGCGATCAATTGACGTTGATCGATTCATGTGCATTGCCTGGCAACCACGATACAACATTCGGCAGCAACAGCCAACGCCAAAACTGACAGCCAAGAAGAGAAACAAAAGTTGGCCCAACACAATGCAGTCTGTAATTCTATCAACACATTATAGCGAGTGACTGAGTGGGTGTCGGACAGTAGAATAGGAGAGATGGTGTTGTATTGTAAGAGTGAGACAAATAAACGCTTTGAGCGTTACAGATATTTATATGTGTGTGAGTGTAGCCGAGGCTATACCACTTGTCATGGAGACAGTGGCCATAGCTACGGACCATTTATATGGATATGTTGCCGTGGACTCGGCCACGGCAACTCGACACCATGGTGACGTTGGTCACCAAGGTGGTGTATCGACTTGTCGTCAATACACATGGACCACCCCGACTTGCCCAAATGTGTTCTCACCGCTCCTCTGCCTCCCGAGTTCGGCTGCAGTGTGTGCGGCAAGCAACCACAGAATCATCTTCTGCTGCTGCCCTGCTACCACCTGGTGTGCAACCAATGTTTGTCCTCTGGCTGCCTGGCCTTCGAGCAAGGTACATTGCCTCAACCGCACCTCGCTACATACAACGAAGTGCTCACGCTGGTCCTTCTGCAGGAACGACAATTGCTCTGTGTCCGGTGTGCGAGATGCCCCACCCCATCCCCAGACTCCTGGGCATCGACCTGCCTGACCTACGCCCCACCACGACCGCTCCGATGAGCCAACTCCTCCAAGACCGGGCGGCCAACATCGCCGTGGTGGGCGCTCAGGGGACTGGCAAGTCCAAGCTAATCTCCACCCTGACCGGGCGCTACGCCCCCAGCGGCCCAGGGATGTGCGCCGTCACCCAGGGCTGGGAGAGCTACAGAGCGCCAGGTGCCCAGGGCGTGGCGTGGTGGGACTCCAGCGGTCTGGAGTCCTGGAGTCACTGGGAGGCGGGCAGGCTCATACGCTCCATAGCAAAGCTCGAGCGCGCCGGGACCACATTCGACCTCGTCGTGGTCGTGCTTCGCGCTTCCGAGAGGGTACGCCCACAACCACACACGACACACGACACGCCTAACTTTCAGCTTCTGGAACGACAGCCCAACAAGCCAGCTCTGTTCGAGTTTCTGGAGCGCTTGCGGAAGGCCAGGAAGCGCTTCGTGGTGGTGACGACGGCGATGGGCTCCGTGGAGGAGAAGGACTGGGACACGATCAAGGCGGAGAAGCGCCGCCTGATGCAGGCCTTCGGCCGGCCCACCGAGCTCAACGCCCACG